GCAGCAGGAAGAAACAGTCTTGACAAGAATGATGGAGAAATCCTGAAAGCAGACATGGTGCTGCAGGGTGTACAAAACTAGTAAGTCATCTTTCTGAGATAACCAAAGCATGTGACCTGATTGTTGTACAGTTTGTTTCAAAGTAAATCATCAAGGTCTCATAAAGCACCTCTGATCAACCTAAATAGATAAATAAAATGCTTAATGGATGAAGGACAACATTCCTGAAGCAGCAATGTTAATTTTTCATAAAAATATAAAATGAAAGTATTTGGAAAAAAATATCTGACTGGGAAGGCAAAAATTTGCGATTTAGAAAGAGCATAGGATCAGCTGGATAATCTCATCTGTTACCCCCTTGCTTCTTCTTCCTGAAATAAGAACTGAGGGAAATCCCAGTTGCAATATGTCGTGGTTTAACCCCAGCCAGCAACTAAGCACTGCACAGCTGCTCACTTACTCCCTGCCCCCAGAGGGATGGGGAAGAGAGTTGGGGAAGAAAAAGAAAAATTCATGGGTTGAGATAGAGACAGTTTAATAGGACAGAAAAGGAAGGGGGGGAAATGGATTTACAAAACAAGTGATGCATAATAATAACAGCAGTAATAGTAACAATACAGTTAGAGTACACAAAACCAGTGATACACAATGCAATTGCTCACCACCTGCTGACTGATGCCCAGCCAGTCTCTGAGCAGTAACCCCCAGCAGCTTTTTCCCCCCTAGTTTACAAAATGAGCATGACATCGTGCAGTATGGAATATCTCTTTGGCCAGTTCAGGTCAGCTGTCCTGGCTCCATGTTCTCCCAGCTTCTTCTGCCCCCAGTCTACACACAGGTGAGAAGCCAAAAAATCCTTGACTTGGCGTAAACACTGCATAGAAACAACAAAAACATCAGTGTGTTATCAACACAATTCTCATATTAAATCCAAAACACAGCAGTGGAACAGTTACTAGGAAGAAAATTGACTTTATCACAGCCCAAATCAGGAGAAAATAGTATCTGGGGTGATCAATCATGCACTTTAAAAGGCAGCTGTGTTCTAGAATTCCATCATGTGGTTGAGAGACCAGCAAAATTCAGATATTCTAGGTTCACTACTTGTTTGAAGTTTAGAATTTTGCTCCAAATCCATAGAATAGCAGAATTCTTACCTCAAGAAAGCTGTGGAGAACATTAATTTCAGGTTGATTGTAATAGCTTTCCAAATTGTTTATTATTTTGCAGTATATAATATAAAAGGAAATATTTTGAAACCAAAACTCATTTTGAAGGAAAAAATTGAAATGTTTAGCTTGGAAATGTCACAATGAGAGGTTCCCACACTGTTGGAGCTTCCCTTCACCGCTTACTCTTTTTTAAATGACATTTTCAGTGCAACCAACACAAGTTCACAAAGCATTTCAGTTTTGACAAGGTTGCATTTTCCAGTGGAAAGTAATTTTTTCAAAGGTTTTCAAACCAGCTCCACTGGGAATAGGTGTCACAGGATTGCAACAACTTTCCCTTTGCAAAATTGCTGAGTTGCAAGCAAGATCCTGGAAGAGGGGCTGGGGTGTGCAAGGCTTTAAGGGTCCCAGGGTGCCCGATGGTTATGAAAGTTGAGAACCTGCTGCTTGAATCACTTCTGGCTACCCAGAAGTAGTTGGTAAACTGCTGTCAATCCTAGCCATCCTGTTGAACTTGTAGGCTGAACAGGCAGTAGCAACTGTGCAGGATTGTAAGGGGGGGAAAAAACCCTCAGTATGTGGCCATGGCTATATGTTCAACCCTGCAATGTCCTTCTCTACCATCCAAGCTTAGAAGTGATGGAAAGAAGGATTATCCCAAGACTGGAGTGATGCTTAGCTCAGGACGGATGCTTAGCTAAGAACATGGAGGTAGGATGAACAGTAATATGTGCCCTTAAATTCCCTCTGAGGGCAGATTTTGTTCTGGCAATGTCCACTTAATGTGACTTGCAGAGGGGATGTGTCCCTCCATAAACACGGAAGGGCAGTTTAACTCGGTAGGTTCACACTGAAAGCAAAAGTACTCAACTCTTTCAAAGAATTAAAAAAAAATCTCAGAGGTTTTAGTCCTCTGAGAAGTCAGTACTTTCTGAAATGCACAGGTAAAGAGAAGTCTGATCTGATTTAATGCAGTCCTAAATAAAGTTCTTTTTACATTCCACCACTTCCGAATGACCAAACAGACAGACCAATACCAGAAACTCATGCTGGGCACAAATGAGTTGGCCTTTTTTATCCCTTCCACTTTTCTAACAGGGAGTGCCATTTGAAATTATCTCTTTTCTTGTTAATTTAACGATTACCATCAGAAAGAGCCAGCGGCTGAAAAATTATAGGCAGTAATTATGATCTTGCAGACTCGCTCTGGGACTCGATGCAGGGAAAACATTGGCTTGTGAGAACGAGGCTGTGCTTCTCGGCAGATGCACTTTGGTGGATGGAGCCTGGAGATTTTGGTTGCCTCAGACCTTGAGGGCCCAGCTTGAGAAACCTTCAGCAGGTAGAGTCACTGTGAGATGGCAGGCACATCTTGAGTTGGACACCCCTAAAAATACAGCCACCCGAAACCTTTAACCATCACTTGTCAAGGGTTGAATGTTTTTTTAACCTGATAAAGAAGGAAAATCACATATTCCTCCTCCATGCATGGATGTACCGGTTCAACTAAATGGTAGATGGACCAGTTAATGCCTTTAGACACTATGTCAAATGATAAATATTTATCATGTTTCAGTATTAATTCGTGTGAAGACAAATACATATGTATGACACTGCAGAGGCAGAAACACACGATCAAAGCCAGCTGTATATTACAGTGTTTAAGAACTGGCTGTTGAATAAAGCTCAGCTTTCCAGTTATGCCCATTGCCTGTCCACCCTTGGAGCCATTTCGCCCCTCAGAGATGAGGGAATCCCCAGCACTTCTGAGGGCTACCATGACGGCTGTGGTGTAAGCCCGAAAACACCGAAGGCGGGACTCAGGGGTAGCGAGAAAAAGAGAAATAAATTATGTCAAACCCCCGGTGTTAAATAGGAAATACTGGGACGGGGTAAGGACGCCCCACGAGGGCAGCCACAGCCGCCAACCTCCGCAGCCTCCTGGGTGCTCCAACCCCGCGGCCCCGGGAGCCGGTCCCCGCTGTCCCCAGGCGGTGCGGGCGGGTGGCGGGGCCGGGCCGGGTCCCCGAGGCGGGGATGCGCCG